AACAAAAACACAAAAACAAAACCAAGAAAAAAGTGAAATAAAATGGGGGGCCATTCTCTGGTATAATATTTGTAATCAAACGCAGTCGGAGTCATAATAATCAAGTCGTAAAAAACGAATCCATTTTCGCGCTTGAATAAACAGCGCCAAGGAATCGCAAGGACCCCAGACCCACGACTGAGATACAGACAGCACAGAACAGTAAGAGCGGTAGTAAAAACAATAACAGTAATGGCAAGAACATTTTTACACCTTCAAGACCCTGGCCAGAAAAGGGATCAAGGCTATGGATGGCGACCACATTTTGTTATCCAACAGCTTGGGCTATAAAAAAAGAAGCAGCACAAATAGCTCAATGCTTTTTGGCCAAATTTTACGACTGCCTGTCCGGGAGTCAGGGCTGAAGTGGGGAGATGGCAGATTCCGTTCTTGACAACCTGTAAATTTTGCGCTTTATTTAACAAGCCAAATGACAAATCTGTGCATCGCCATTTAATGATCGTAAAAATTCAGCCATCAAATGCTGTAAATTATAATGTAATAGAAAAATAATAAGCGACTGGATGCATCGAAGATGTTATCATCGTAAATCGCAGTAGAGTCGTAAAACGAGTCCTTCGGTGGGCGCACAGGAAGCTGAGAATGAAAAGCCGGGCGTTAGTTTTCACACCCGCAGTGGCAGTCCCAAAACTAGAAGGGAAAGTCGGATGCAAAGCTCTGGCATCATTACACTTGAGTGTTTTACAACTTCCGCTAAGTTCGTCATGGCCATAAAGTGTAATCTTCATGTTTTTATTACAACAATGATGGGTGTGCGGTGAGGGGAGGGATTGCGCCTTGTCAATGGCACATTGAGGACATCAAATTGACAGCTCCTTGGAGTCGTAAAACTCAGACAGCCAGGCAGGCGGTCTGCCACTGTCTGCCAGAGTACATATGTTGAGGGGTAATGATTGTCACCGGCTAAACAATTAAATTGAGGTTAGGAATGAAGCATAAAAAGCGCATAAAAGCGGCCATAAACCCACACGGACAGACAGCCACTCAGACCCCTGACGATGTCGTCAACGCATCGTAAACATTTTAAGCTACAGTTTATTTTCATTTGGCAAGGATAACGGCGAGAGTAGAACATGACCCCTATGCGATCTGTGGCCTCGTAAAACTTTGCTGATAAGACACTCGCCGCTGGTAATGATAATAAAATTATAATTTACCCTTCACACATATGCTGGCTCTTCCACTTGGGCATTTGGTTGCGGGTCTTGTGCGGGTCTCTGGAGCACTTGACTTCTAAGGGGCGTTCTCCGCCTCCATTTTTGGGGCGCTCTAAACTGCGCTAATCAGCATTTAAAATTAACTAAATGCCCGACTCTTAGCGCCGAGTTTGATGATGAGTTTGGCCTTTCCCTCCCTCCCTTCTGGTGGCTGTAAAACGTGGCATGTTTGTTGTTGGGCACTTTATGTTGATTGGGAGATGCGTTTTCCATGTCGCTGAGAGGCATGTGGCAGCACTGCGGATCCTTGACTGTGTGTGGCAAGTGTCATTTGATGGTTATAGTTGTGTCCTTCTGCGGTTAAGCAGTGAAAGATCATAAAGGGGACTATCGCTCTTGGCTTTAGTCTATTAAACGGCAGAGTGTCCTGGATTTAGCTGATGACTTTTATCCAACTTTATTTCGCTTTAAGTTGCATTATCATATGTCGCTTTTTGGTTTTAATTGATGCCCAAATAAGAGACATACACCCCCCCATATAAGGGGGCGATTACTTCCGCCATTTTCTATGATGAATTGCTACTTTGCCTCCCACTCAGCCGCAGAGAGAGAGAGAAGATGCGCAGACAACGGGAACACAGAAGCAGGATGCCCCAGGAGTAGAGGCAGAGCCATACATAGATACACATTTATCCAGCTGTCGGCGGCGTTGACAGCCCCCATGCTAGAGTGCAGAGGATAAAAAGGACACGGCCGGCACTGAGTCGGCTAAGGCAGGTGAACGTGAACCCGAGTCGGGCCGGGCTGCGCAAGCTCTGCTGCTGCTGCTTCTGCTCCTGCTCCTGCTCGTGGCAGCAATTGGTGGCAAAGCAGTGAAAGGACACAGGAAGTGCACTTTGGCAGTGCCCACAGGACACCCTCGCCGACGTCGTCGTCGTCATTGTCCTCATCGTCATTGGGGTGCTTTTGCCGCTTATTTATGCCCGGCAATCATAAAGCGCGCTCCACTCACAGACAGAGAAGCAGAGAGCCACAGCAGCACGAGGGACAGAGAAGGAGAGAGACTGTAAGAGAGTGAGAGAGAGAGAGAGAGAGAGCTGCCGTGGGAGAGAGTGCAGGTTATGGGTTTCTATAACTCAGAACTCGGAACAGGACTCGGTGCCACCGCGTGCGTCGTGTGTCGTGCCGCCTCTTTCTGGCCCATGTCTGTGTCTGCGTCTGGGACCACGACCACTTTCGGTGGCTGTTTCGTTGGCTGCTCCTGATGTATTCCATACAAATTGCAAGTTCTAGTGCTTTTATTTTGCCACACACCCGAATGACGGGGCCAGGGGGGTGGGCCAGGGGGCAGGCGAATCATCCATCAATGGCGTTTTGCGGCAAGGACAGAGCCAAAGTCCTCTTTTGAGTGCTTCTGACGTTTTTGTGTCGCAGACGAGCAGCCACACAGCGCCAGGAATACCAACATTAGTGGGTGGAGCAGGACGAGGACTGGAATTAGGACCAGTATCAGGATCTAAACGGGAAATTCCCAGCGAAATTTCTACAAAAATTCGCCTGAAAAATAAATGACTATCCCTTTCTTGTGGCTATACCTCTCTCTCTCTTTCTCTATGTTTCTCTCTCTCTTTCGCTCTTTCCAACGTCTATCGCAGTCAGCTGTTTGTAAAATAATAACATAAAATATGGCTGTCCTTGAACAATTTACTTTTATTTTATTTTTATTGCCGCAGCCTCCGTTCAGCCTCAACATGTGGCACGACTCTCCCAATGGCTGCGTGTGTGTGTGTGTATGTGTGGGTTGTCTGCATTGTTGTTGCGCCTCGCTTTTAGCTTCATTAAATTTATGTTGCAACCCCGCGGCAGCCCACTCAATGTCCTGGGCCTAGTTGCACGTGCCGCGTCGCCGTAAAACAGATCGTAAAAGTTTATTACTTGCGGCTTTTGTTTGTTACTGTGTGTGTGTGTATCTCTCTCTCTCTCTATAGCTCTCCTTCTTTTTCGTCGTCTCTGTCAGCTGTCAAATTGAATTTGTTTATATTGCCAACAGCGATGGCAGCTCCCAGCTCTCTGGGCTCTGGGGCTCCGGCACTCAGCTCCCGATTCCAACAGGTTTCATTTTCACTGAGGCCGGAAATCATTGCGTCATGCTGATATTTTGTATTTAAACGCCTACTTCCCACTCCCACTGCACCCCCCTTTCGACGGGGACTCGACGACTCGACTCTCCCTTTCGGGGCTGTCATGCTCAGGCCTGGCTGGCTGGTGTTTAGGCGGCAAAAGTCGATTTTTGTTGGTTTAGGTCAGTTTTAGTTAGCTGCCTTTGACAGCTCAAAGTCGAGGTCAACTTTTGTATGCCCATCATCAGCTGTCGGCCTCTGTCTCTGCCCCTGCCCCTGCCCCTGCCTTTGCCTCTGTCACTGCCTCTGTCTGTGTGTGCGAGTGTGTTTGTGTGCCTATATTTATGGGCCCCGCTGGTCGAGACGCGACCCCGATGCGACGCGTCCTTGTCAGTTGCCAAAACATAAAAAATCGATTTTATTATAGTCCCGTCAGTCTGGGCCTTCTATATAGATTTTCTGTCACGGCAGATATTGCCTTCTGTCTGCCACCCTGTGCGACTATGTGTCCTGTTTGTGACAGGCTTGAATTTTTTCTGTCTGCTCTCTTGGTTTAGTTTAGGGCACGGATTTTTAAAGCCAGCGGAGTGCAAAACGGGGTATATCAGAGATTTTATACAAAGAAAAGTTACAAGATATTCAATTTCGCAATCCGATCTGGATTTCATTCAGGCATTTTTGAACCCTGTTTTCCCATACGAAAAATATCGTACGCTTTCGATGTACAAACAATATAGAAAACAAATATTTTCCCCAGGTTTTTTTTAGTCAATTCGATAGAATTTTGTTAGCTCTACTTTGCTCTGTCTCTTAAAAAAGATGGGGCTTATCCGAGTTATAGTTTTCATGATGATAGAATGTGGTCTTAATGGCTTAATCTAGTAAAATCAAACAATCTGCGAAAAGGAGAAGAGTATTTTAAAGTAGTTAATGTTTTTATAAGGAGAATAATGTAGTTTTCAATTGAGTATTTACTCAATAAATTATCCCTATTGGTGTTTTTTAAATTGAACTAAGTACCAGTCGTGAACGTACGATTTTTGCATTTGTTTTTTTACTTTATGCCACAAAATTTCCCATAAATTACTGCATATTCCTTAACAAAAAACTTAGTTGGCTTTTGAGAGACTCTTTGTGGAAAAACTATTATCAAGAACCATCCTTCGTATAGAAGAATACCATTACTAGGTAAATACGACTATAAAAATACCGAAAAAGCGATCTTTTGCTCTTCTTGAAAGGTTTTTAGATCAAAGTTTATTAAATGATATGCCAATTAGTTAAATTAGCTTAGTTTCTATCCACTTAGCAAATAATATTGGTACAAAAGTATATGGAAATTTGTATTGACTTATAACTTACTCAGCTGTTCTCCTTCTCCATTATTTAGTTATATTTGAATAAATAAAGAAAGCTTTTTAGACCAAGGCCCAAGTTAATCAATTTTGTGTTCATCGCATGCGAATAAAGCCACCAAAAGAGAGCGGAGATAACCATAACAAACAAGAATACAAAAAAAAACATAAACAAAATTAATCAAATTATCTCATGCTGAGAGCGGCCTAAGAGCTTTGCAAAGCTCACGCTCTCCCTCTCTCTCTCGCTCTCTGTCTCTGTTGCATTGAATTTATTAGAATGCTGAAGCGAACGAACAGTATACAAAATGTTGTCGCAGCAGTTGAACGCGAAAAGACAGGCCTCGTGGCAGATCTATCAGATATATAGAAATGTGGCCAGCAAAGTAAGTTCATGTCATTTGGGGAATACTCAAAATTTATACATTGTCATGCTTCGCAGACGACTCTTGCCCAGGAAACGATAAGCTTGGAGCAGGCCAAACCCTACGCGGAGGTGCCGGGTCCGAGCAAATTCCAGATGATACGAGCTTTTATGCCGGGCGGTAAGCAGTGAGCGAAAGCTCAAAAGCTGCCTCAGACAGTGCTTTAACGCTGATCGTCCGTCTCCATTATTAATCTGTAGGCCGCTACAAAAATGCACCCGCCCATGAAATGTTTCTGGATCTGAGCCGACAGTTTGGTGGCCTCTTCCGGATGCCCAGTATTGCGGGTACCGACATGGTCTTGACCATGAATCCCCAAGATTATGCGACGGTCTTTCGCAATGAGGGCCAGTGGCCATATAGACGGAGCTTCACGACTGTTGAGTATTTCAGGAAGGTCCGCAGACCGGAGGTGTTCGGCGAGTACGATGGCTTGGTCTCTGGGTGAGCACCTCTAAGACACCTATCCCTTGGCTTTTCTTAAGATTTATCATTGAATTAGGAATGGTGCCGCATGGGGCAAGATGCGAACAGCGGTAAACCCGATCCTCCTGCAGCCCCGCAATGCAAAACTCTACTTGAAGAACCTGGTGCAGGTCAGCGATGAGTTTCTGGAGCGGTGAGTGGCGTGGACGGAAGATTCTCCTTACTAAACTTTGTTTTTTGTTCCAGCATTCGCCTTATCCGTGATCCGGTTAGCCAGGAGATGCCAGATGACTTTACCGAGGACATTCGTAACTTGGTGATCGAATCTATAGGCTCGGTGGCTCTCAATACCCATCTGGGTCTGCTGGGGGAGAACCGGTACAGCGACGAGGCCAATCAGCTAAAAGCTGCCCTGAAAGACTTCGTGGAGCTGGGCTTCCAGCTGGACATGATGCCGGCCATCTGGAAGTATCTGCCAGTGCCAAAGTTTAATCAGCTGATGCGTTCCCTGGACACCATCACGGACTTCTGCTGCACCCACATTGAGCAGGCACTGCAGCGGATCGAGGAAGACGTTAAAGCAGGCAAAATGAGCCCCGAGATGGGAATGGAGGCTAGTCTGCTGGAGAAATTGTCTCGCTTCGATCGCCAAACGGCTGTGATCATCGCCATGGACTTCCTCTTTGCTGGAACAGATCCAGTATGTGCAACCACCCACCGATAGTAATCAACTGTAATCCATTTTCCTTTGCAGACCCTTGTAAGCCTGGTTGGCATTCTGCTCAGCCTGGCCAAGAATCCAGACAAGCAGGCTCGCCTGCTCGAGGAGATCAACCAGATACTGCCGGCCAAAGACTCGCCCCTGACCATTGAGAACATGAGTAATCTGCCCTACCTGCGCGCCTGCATCAAGGAGGGCATTCGCCTCTACCCCATTGGCCCCGGCACCGTACGCCGCATGCCCCACGACGTGGTGCTTAGTGGCTATCGTATCGTTGCCGGCACCGATGTGGCCATAGCGGCCAACTATCAGATGGCCAACATGGAGGAGTACGTTCCCAGGGTGCGGGAGTTCCTGCCGGAGCGCTGGCTGCGTGACGAATCCAACTCTAAGCTAGTGGGAGACACGGCCACGCCTTTCATGTATCTGCCCTTCGGGTTCGGGCCGCGTGCCTGCGCCGGCAAGCGGATTGTGGACATGATGCTGGAGATAGGAGTCGCCCGGCTTGTGAGGAACTTCGAGATTGGCTTCGACTATCCCATCGAGAATGCCTTCAAGACCCAGTTCTTTGTCCAGCCCAATATTCCCTTCAAGTTTAAGTTTGTGGAGCGTACAGCGTAGTGAGGATACGGATAAGTATGAAATGACCAAATAAATGCACTTCACAGCCAGCTAAAGACTGTCGAGTGGTCTTGGCCGCATACACATGTCCTGGCTGAAGGGTCCTTTTCAGCGCATTACACCAACATCCACATCCTCTCGAGGCTGCGTATTTTTATAGCTCTCCCAAAATTACGATGCCGTTTGCCGGACCATCTGAAGTGGACACTTGGCCTGCTGGAAGTCACCAGAAGAACATCTCTTGAAGTGGTCTGAAGTGGCATGAGGGAGTGAAAATATTCCAAATCAGGAACATGCAGGGAAAACACATGTGTTGGATGGGATATGTTTACTCAGAGGAATGTCAAGAACGGTGAAAATGGGGTGCACATCTTATATTTTAGGTATATTGGGACGTCTGCTGAAAACGATTATCTATTTCGTATTTGCTTATTATATTCTATAAGAAGAAATCGAATTGTGTGGCAAAAGTGGTCGCCTCTTTTCAGAATATCACCATTAAAGTTGGAAGTTTTGATTTCAATTCAAACTAGGTCTTGCGCTCGTCAGAGACACAGAATTTATACTCTCCTAACCGATATCTTAGATGTGTAGATTGAGGAAGTGGAGCGTATTCTCTGCCTTTACTTCGAATATTACGTTCTGGGTAATCTATATATAGTATATATTATATACGCATCAATATGGAGGAATTCGACTATGAAAAGGCGGAGGAACGTCAATTGCAGCAACAGAAGCACTAACCGCTGTTTAAAATATATAAAAAATATAAATATATTTAATAAATTTAATATACATACTAGCTGGCAAGCCCGCCCCAGCCCACTTGATATGTGTAGAATATAGGGACCACTACGATTCAAACCGTTTTTATATAATATAGAGAAATATGCCCTAATTAAGAATTAAATTGGATCATTATTTTTAATAAACAACCTCCATTTTTACATCAGTTCTACACGCTGCAGAATTTTGAGTCTCGGCCTAGAAGTATGCAACAAATACCGATATGTAAAGATATTTTCAACGTTCGTCCGATGCATCGCGATGGCTCCATCCATAGACTTCAAGCCTTAAATGTGGGGCGGAATTCGTAAGATACATTCAATGGGTAGCCCCCCTCTCAACCATTCGTTCCTGCCCCTGCAGCCTTCGTTATCGGTTGTAGTTGAACAAACAAATGCGCCGACATAAATAATGCAAAAGTATTCATTTTGACATCGAATAGACAAAGTTGCATTGAATTTTCATGTTTGTTCTTCCGTCCGCCATCGCTGTGCTGTGCTCTGCTCTGCTCCGCTCGGTTCCCTGCCATTTCTTTCTTTTACTTGGCCAGGACTTGGACTGTCCCGTCCCGGGGTCTTATCTGCCTGGCCTGGTCTCCTGGCCCCGTTCCCTCACAGCCCGCCGCCCTGCCACTGCATCGTTCTCGTCCTCGTATGTCCTGGATTTTACGCTGCAGACTTTAGTTGGACTCGTTTGTGCCGTCGTCTTGTGCATTATTAAAACTATTCTGATGGCGCTTCCGTGAGCCCCCGCTGGATGGGGTCTACTTGAAATGTCAATGCTGGGTCCGGTCCAACGGTCCTCTGGTCCTCTGCTTCTCTGGTTCTTTGGTCCTCTGTTTGCCTCCGTTGTGGCTCCTTCTGGAGAGTGCATAAAGTTTTATCGTGCCTGAATGGGGAGGTATGGTCCTGCTCCGTCACGTTTCCTTGGCTGGAGTTCGCAACTTTGGCCGAGGACGAAATGCATTTGCAATTGCATAAATGAACAGTGTCGGGCAGTCGGCAGCCGGCTGTGGGGCGGGGGGCAGACAAAACGAATGGAATTCATTATTGGCCAGGAGATGTCCAGAAAGAGAGGAGAGTGCTGGAGTTTTGCGGGGGGAGGCGGATGTGAGGTGTTGTCCTTTAAATTGAAAATGCATGTCAAGTATCGGGCCAGCACACAAATAGCAGTTTCTGCGGGAAATTCGCAATTTTCGATGCCCTGCCTCCAGGCGGGGCAAGCATTTGCACTTTATGACATGCACCCAGCCCCACCTCCTACCCACCTCCCTTCGCCCCCTTCGGTGCGCCCATAAACCGTGCAATTAGACAATGTCCCTGCTCTCGGCTCCACCTCTCGCATGCATCTTGGCAATTGGAATTTTGGCTTTTCGCATTGAACTTTGACTTGCCATCAAACACGGGAGAGGCAGAGGGTACATGCACCGTGCCACTCCCACATCCACTGCCCATCTTCTTGTCACTTGACATGATGGCCGTCCATTGCCGAGCTGCCAATTTGCAACAGCAACAGCACGGGCGTGGCAAACGGACCACGTCTAATGATGGCATACATAACCTGCCTGCCTGCCTTGGCACACGCCCACGCTCCAGCTCCAGCCCCAGACCAGGTCCTTCCTGGGGTATACTGGCCCTAGTCCTAGTCCTGCTCATGGTCCTGGTCCTGGTCCTGGTCCTTTGCAAGTGTCATGTCACACAACGCACTCGGCTTGCTTGTCAATTTCGCAGCTGGGCGTGGTCCGGACAGGGGCACGAGCTTGTGCCTCCGACTACGAGCATGAGCATGACTTGAGCCCCAGTGCCAGGCATTAGCATGTAAAAGGCAAAGTTTAGAGTAAAAAAAAAAACAACCAGCATTGCAGTGCAGGACAATCAGCAGACAGCCAGCCAGGCAGGACACACACACACACACCACTCCTGTGTGCTTTCTCTCGTCCCCTCCCTCTCCTTTTCCTCTGAACCAGTGAACCCGCCCTGACAGGCGTCCATGATTAATGGTTGTCAATGGCATTCTGTTGCCACTGCCTCTGCGGCTGCTTCTCGCTCGGCTCGGCTTGGTTTCGGCTTGGCTTGGCTTGGCCTGACTTGGGTTGCATATAAAAAGTAATTTTGTTATTTTAAGAAAAGCCCTCGCAGGCTCTAAGGATCTGCTCAGTTGTGTTCTGTTTGGAGGAAATTGATTCGGCGGCATCGCATGCCGCGCGCGTTTTCTCCTGTGCCTCGTCCTTCCTGTGCGCTGTTTCGGTTTTTCCGTTTTCGGTTTCGGTTTCGCTTTCTTTTTCTTTTTCCAGGCCGTTGCCACAGGAATTCCCCAAACAAGACTCGTCTCGCAATTTTGCAACCTTTTGCACCCCGCGAGGCGGCGGATGGAACCCCAGGCCTATGGCCTAGATGGTGTTAATGGCACTGGCAATGGCTGGAAGCTGGGGAGATGCGGATACGGCTGGAGTGGGAGTGGAGTGGAACAAAATTTAATTTATTATTTCGAAAAGCAAAGCATTTCTAATCGAATTGTATTCCAAATAAGCGTTGCATGCCGCGGAAAGCGGGGGGGAAATTGAAAAATTGTCCCCCCAATTGGGTGGATATCCTTCTGCGCGGCAAGATAATGCTTCAGTGAATGAGAATTTGAATTGTTCGATTCGCGGGTGAATTATGTTCATCAGATTGTGTGGCATTAATGATGTGTTTCTGGCGGGTATCGAGCACTCAGCGAAAATGAAGTAATTGAAGCTCTGACTGGAGGTTAAGTGGGTGGGCGGGCTCTTAAAGCTGTGACACTTAAAGCACCCGCAGGATCAGATCAAAACGGAACTGAGTGCCACCCACCGCTGGCTTCTGTTGTGTATATATTTTTATTAATTTTCCAAATGAATTCCTGACAACGACAAAAAGACAATGACAATGGCACGATGACAACAGCAGCCAGACAGCGAGTTATCCTGGCCCCCGTTTCGGCCAGCAGAGCAGAAGGATAACCAGAAAAAAAGAGGAAAAACGAAAATGGGGGCAGCCATTGTCGCTGCCATCGTCCAGCGGCAGGCAGGCAGGCAGCCCTCTTCTCCGCCTTTGATAGTCTCCTTTTTTTGTTTTTTTGGCAACTGTTGGCGACATTATTACGTTACTTACTTTACGCCATAAATGTTGTTACGTCACTAGCCGCACACCCCCCATCTATGGGGGCTAAAAAAGGGCAAAACAATGAGGGCTGCCACGAGAGGAGAAGAAGCAGCAGCAGAAGGAGACGGCTGCCATCATTGTTATGTGAATGTGACGACTTTTTGACTTCCGTTACGCTGATGTGTTTCCGTTTCCTGTTTTATGCACAACTTTTGTCCGCTGTCTTCTGTTCCGTTTCGTTCCTTTCGCTGCTGTGCCGTGGCATGGCTCATTCCTTTGTGTGTTGTTGTCCTTTTTTAAAATGTTTGCCACTGATGAAATGTAAGCAAGGATAACGGCACAATACAACACAACAGCCATTCCCATACTGCCTGACGATTTTCCGCCGCGTTGATTTGCACTCCTATCTCCACCTCCCCCCCCGCGCAGCAGAAGCCTCCCTCTCTCCCTTCAGCCATACGAGTATGCATCCTCAATTTCCTTTTTATGTTATTTTAATTTTATGTTATTGTTATGACACAATGAAAATAAAATTGAATTGACACTGATGTCCTTACTTCCTTCAGCCCTTAGACCTCAGCCCTCAGCCCTCAGCCTCCTCCTGCGCCCCTGCTCTGGCCCTGATAACAAAGGGCTCCCCGCCCAAAAAAAAAGGAAAAAACTGTCTGTGTGACAGTTGCCCCTGACGTTTTTATTGCCCGGACACACACGCACAGCTGTAGGCTGTAAGCTGTAAGTGTGGCACAGTCCCAAGTCCAATCCAAGTGGCAGTCAGACAGGATCACAGGATATTCAAATGGGCCATAAGTGCGGTTAAAGCGTTTCGCTCGCTCGACTAAATCTCAATCCGAAATCCGAGAGCAAAACTTTCAATTTTTGACGCTGCCAGCTGGCGACATGACCTCTGTCCTCTCCCCCCGTCCCCCGTTCCCCGTCCCCCGGCCAATTTCCAGCATCCAATCCAACCTTCCCCCACCGAATCGCTGACAATATTATTTGTCGCGCAGGTTCAAAACAATATCATAAAGTAATTTATATGCCTGGCAGTCAGGCAGGGAGGCAGGGAGGCAGGAGCAGGAGAGCAAGGATATCGGGCAGCAGGACGTGGGCGTGAGCGTGGGATGCCTCCGATGATATATGGGCGAAAT